GTAGGATTCACTAGTGGTAAGGCACACAGACTTTGGAGGAACTCATATCCCAGATCTACTACTTCTAGATGAGTAATTTTTAACATGTTAAAATTTCTCTGTTTCACTCTTCTCATAAGGAAAATGAGATGATAATGGATTTTTTTGCAAACTTTTTACAAGGCATAGATGGGAATATGTACACACAGAAACAGAGAGACACAGAGAGCAAGAAGAAACTTCATATAGTACCTGGAATCTGGTACATACTCAAAAGGTAGTAGCTAATACAAGGAAAACACTGATCAATTTTCTGACCTTTGACAAGACCACATTAGAATTCAGTTTCTACATTTCTTAATGTAGAAAATATTAACTGCTAACAGAGGCTGCTAAAAAATAAAGGACATAATGAAATTAAAAGATGTTTGACTGCTGAATACTACAAAGTGAATGGAAAGCATTTTTTATAATTAAAAATCTATGATTTGAAAAATAATAATGTTTTATATTTGGGGAAACAGGAGCAAATATGAAAAGAGAAAGATCCATTAGAATTTTAACCTGAACAAACTTGTGGTCCTTATCTCAGAATAATAACTTATGAGTTCTCATTTTAATAATTAAATTACTTTTAAGGATACATATGAAATATAGATACAAAGCAAACAGAGTTTTCAGTCCCCTGGCAAGAAATCACTGACTTTATTATTCAAAAAAAATAAAATTAGCAAAAAATTACTGCATACCATTTCATGCAAAGTGCTGCACAGAAGTAGGGATAGATAACAATGTCTTTATCCATAAGGGTCACAGTTCATAGGTGGTAGGTAATCATCAGGTAGAATGGTTTAATGGAAAAGCCCGAAAGTCAAATCTATTTAAATCCTGACCCTATTTGCCTTATCCCTTGCAAAGCACATATCCTCCCCAAGTTCCTGTTCCTATCAGTAAAACAAAATACCACTTATCTAGTTGGAGTATTTTGTGTCTTCATTCATTGGGATGACATATAACACATGTAAAACACCTGGAACATAGTAGATGCTTCTTAATTACAGTCCTTCCTTTTCCTGAATAAAAGACATGAATGACACATCCACCCAAGATAGAAATAGGCTAAAGTCATATAAGAAGAATAAAAAAAAGAAAAAGATGCCACATCTGGTTAGAACTTGAAAAGGCTTCATAGAAGGTATGTTATTTGAAATGAGCGGTGAAGGATGAGTAAGATTTGAATACATATGGCTATAAGACAGAAGAAGTTAAGTTGAACCAATAGAAAGAACCATGATGAAAAGAACCATGGTAGCAAAAACAGTTGAGTGTGTTTGATAAAGTGCATTACTTCAGTTTAGGAGGTGTATCTTTGGTAATGTGCTTTGTATACGCAGATGAAATAGAACAATGAAACCTTTTGCAATCGTTTTAGGTAGAGCAGAAGAGGGATGAGAGGAAGAGACAGTGGGGGTGAACCTAACCAATATACAATGTAAAGCTATTCAGAAATGTCACAATGAATCTCCTTTGTACAATTAATATATGCTAATAAAAATGAAGAAAAGAAAGAGAGCAATGTAGACAAAAAGGTGGTTTGAGGTTCCATTCTGGAAAGTCTTGCTAGTCACAGAAAAGATTTTGTACTTAATGAGAGGCACTGACAATTTCTCAGTAGCAGAATCATTGATCGTCTTAGGATGGCAGCAGTTCATAAAATTAAACGGAGCTGTAAGAAAAAAATGTCAATTTCAGAAGGGTTTCAGATGGGAAGAATTTCAGAAACTTGTATACGGAAAATAACTATCCCTTAAAGATGACCTCTACCCAGTAAGTAAAGCCAAGGATAGGTATCACTGTATTATTAGACAAAGAAACTAAGGGAATTTCCATACACACAGACCAAGGTGGGTTATGAGAGCTCTTGCCCCAGGTCATATAACAGCAGCCACAGAAATCAAATTCAAGATTCTCTCCTCTAGGTCTATTACTTGAGACAATATTTCCACTCTCAAGCATTTCTAAAAGATAATTATCAGGATAACAAAGATAAATCCCAAAACTATGCTGTTATGCTGAGCATGTAAAATGGGTAAGCACGCATACAACTGTAAATTATATAATTGGAGCTTGAGATAAATGCTTGTGGACTTACCTCATCTGTTAACTTAAGGGACGCAGCAACATTTTAAAACTCTAACTGTGGAAAACCTTAGGAAAGTCATATCCAAGTGTCTCATGAAAACAGGTAGACCACCTTGGTCACCAAATGTCAAGGGAAAAATAGTTGTAAAATGCAGTAGTTTTCCCCCTTGAATAATCACTGTCTAATAAAGAGCATATTCTAGAATAGCCTCCCTCACCTAAACACTCTCCTCTCTCCTCTCTTTTCTTTCTCTCTCTCTCTCCCTCCCTCCCTCTCCCCTCCCTCTCTCTCTCTCTCTCTCTCTCACACACACACACATACATACACACACACACCTGAAATGCTGACCTGTCCCACTGGCCATGCTGCTGTTGAGATGTGGTGAAAAAAAAAAAAAGAAAAAAATCCGTTAGAATTAGGCGAAATAGGGAATTTGAAAGGAAAAATAACAAGATAGACTTTGCCTTGGATTTTCAGTTTTCTTCATATGCATATTTCCTATCATTTAATCTCTCTTGACAGAGAGCCACTCTCGCCTGAGAATTTCAAGTATGAAGATAAAATATTCATAATAAGTAAAAGACAAATAATCTGGGTTCATTCCCACCTATCCCCCCAAAAAAAGGAAAGAAAAGCTATCATTCTTTCTCTAGTAAAGCTCTGTTTTATCACTAGCATGGGTTTCCATAAAGAAAGGATCTAGCATTCTAGGGGATATGAACATAAATATTGGGCAATGAAATCTACTTGTGGAAAGGATAGTTTTAGAAGTTGTATTTATTTGATTCTATTGTTTGTCAACCCAACTAATTTTTGAAAGTGTGGTATTAAGAATAAGAGATCTCAGGCCTGGCAAAGTGGGTCAAGTGGTAGAGCACATACCTAGCGAGATTGAGGCCCTGAGCTCAGGCCCCAGTACCAGCATAAATAAACAAACAATTAATAAAATTCCTATTACAAAAAAGAATAAGAAATCTCTACTTTAGAGAAGATAAAAGCATGCCACTTACAGAAGCAATATTGAGGATTCAGGGCTTTTGGTACCCTTGATTCTGACTGCAGGTAGTAAAGTGGTTCTATAGCCTGAATGGTAGGATCAGCTTAATGCACATTGAGAAGTTATACAATATTTAGGTAACAATGACAGAATAAAGAAAAGAAGGACAAAAACTTAAGAATGGTCACAACTCACGATGGAAAAAGCACTGTGCTTTGAATTAAATAAGCAGCAGTTTGAGTTACATTACTACTTCTAAACAACCTAAAGGTTACAGTAAGGAGAATAAAGTGACATGATCCTTATTGTATACATAGGAGTCACTGTATTAGCTGGCTCATATAAACAGTAAAACATAGAGTGCCATTATGGTTTTCAGTTTTTAAGCACAGAAAAACAAACCAAAAAAGGAGGAGGAGAGGAGGGGTAGAGAGAGAAGACTGTGATGAAACCCATCCAGGGAAACAACCATTCAGAATAGTCTAGACATTCTAGACTATTCTATTTTTTTTTCATCTTATCATACTACAAGATTTTACTTATTAAAATCACTGTACATAGCCAAGGGAAATATTATAACCAAAATACCATCAATCATTTTCTCTCCAAAAAATGAGACACATTTGAAAAATATTTCTTCAATGAAATTTATTTCTCATAGTACTAAAGACTAGGAAGTCAAAGATCAAAGTACCAACAGATTCAGTGTCTGGTGAGGGCCAACCTCCTATTTCATAAAATGTCACCTTCTTGCTGCATCCTCACATGGCAGAAAAATAAGATAGCTTTCTATAGATTCTTTTATAAGGACACTGATCTTATTCATGAGGACCCCACCGTAATTATACATGGCCTCCTAGGGCCTCACTTCCTCTTGTTATCATATTGGAAATTAGATTCAACGTATGAATTTGGGGCATACACAAACATTCAGACCATAGAAAGAGCTGAAGATTCTTCAGGGAGTGGTAAAAAGACATTAACAACTTACAAGAACATTTTTTCCCCTGTTGCTAACTACTGGTCTGGGAACTGCTAAAACTCCTTTCTTAGAACATTTACCGAATTCTAAAACAAAAGAAGGCAAGAGAATAAATACATTTTCTCAGAAAAGCAGAAATTTCTACAGTCCTTTTCAGTGCCAGAGATAATTAATGACATGCCAATATCCTATAAAAGCCTTGCAAAACCATATCTAGCAACAGGGACAAGCAGAGGTACACTATAACTACAACTCAAGCTTGACCCAGATCAGTCCAGAATTGGACTAAAGTGATCAGCCTCAAACTGCAACCAACTTCCCCTTGCTTGGTAAAAGAATGGATGAACCTTTTCTGGTGGAAGATAAATATCACCAGGAATCTCTATATATTTTAAACATACTGTCTAACAACAAACAAAAAATACTAGCAAGAGACAGAAACACATGACTGGAAACCAAAGAAGAAAAAGAAAATCTGAAACACACTAGCAATATGCAAACAATACATAGGAGTTAATAAATGATGACTTTAAATGATATTCTATGACTTTAAAAGATATTCTAGAGCTAAAATTTACATACCTTGAAATACTAACTCTTAAGTTTCTTTTATATTTCTACCAAGGCAGCCATTATGTATTTGTACTAATTACCTTGAAGTTAATAAAAAGACATGATAGTAAGGTCTACTATCATTATTAACAAAATGCAAAAGTAAATTTAAAAATGATACAAGACACCACTAAATATCAGTAAGGGTTGATAAATATCGCAAGCACTTTTATACGCCAAAGTGCTCTCTGGCTAGTGAAATAAGAAACTAACATCTTTCAGCAGGCTAGAGCTCAAGGGATCTTTTTTCTATATTAAAGAGCAAAATAAGAGCAGCTGTCACTTACAGGAAGGTGTGTGAAAACAGCAAAGGTGCTACGCAGAAAGGCAATGAGGTCTACTAGATAATCACTTGCTTTGTTGTCTAAATCTCCTGTCATCCAGTCGTAGTCTGCCAGCTGCAGAAACTGGTCAATCTTCTGATTTAAGTTTGTATAAATCTCTTCTTCAGCAGCATGCCTAGCATCCTGTGAAATAATTGAAATTTGAAATATCACTCAGATTTTCAGTAGGAAAAAGGGAGAAATTTATACAACTTGGAGCCATTTGGATCCAATTAGTGACACTGTTGGGAATATCAAATCATATCACAGCTTCCATTAATTCTTCTTTTTCCAAAAGCACAGTGTACTCATTTCAAGCTTTGTTTTTTGCTTATTTGTTTGCTTGCTTTTTTAAAAATTTATTTTTATTATTATTGTATGGGGGTACGTTGTGACATTTATAAAAGTTCTTACATTATATTAGTTGAATTCACCTCCTCTGTCACTCTCCCTTATCCTTCCCTTCCCCCCATTCCTGGAATAGTTTCAACAGGTCTCATTGCTTTTTGCTCCACAAGAAAAGCTATTATTTTGATTAATTGCTCTCAGCAATCTGTATCCTTTTTATTTTCTTATCTCTGTTCAAAACTAAACTGACTCTCAGGATCCCATTTCTTTTCAATTCCTACGCAGCTCCAAATGCCTCATTTCTGCAATCCCCAGCTCTCTACATCCTTTAGTTGGTTCACATTGCTTTTAAGTATTTAAGTTTCAACTTAATTTCATGTATTCTCACTAGATACTGTCATAGCTCTCTGCTTTATCATCAAGATTTCCTAAAATGTGTTCTATATAACACTAATCATAAAAGATGCTAAGACAACAGTAAAGAATGCCAAGATCACATAAGTTTGAGATACCCTTTACAAGAGGTCATGATATACACCAGCATATTAAAGGCTCTAAAAAGTGTTATTGGACTTACTTTCCCAGGAAAAACATTCCAGGACACTATGACAATCAGTATTCTAACACTGAAAATTCATCAACATAGATGAGTTTATGGTCACCCATGAACAACATCCAACCACATTCAATACTACTTTTTTAATCTGATCTTACTTGATTTATATTAAACATTTTCTACTTAAAACTCTGCCTTCCCAAGACCTTCATGACTTTGTTTAGTCATGATTATGCCTCTCATCTCAAATCTTCTCACATTCTCTGGATGATCTAATTATTTACTATGCTTTCCAATATCTCTATTGTCAGCACAGGTCTACTCTAAATGCATTCTACATCAAGGAACAGCTATCTGATTGTTTTGTGGTACATTTGACCCCTAGAAACTCACTAGTTAACAGTAACTAGTTAACATACTGAGAGCCTATCTTAAAAAAAAATTAAAGATGCTTATAAGCAATGTGAAGGAACTACAGGATGTAGAAAAATTCTGCATAATTTTGCAATGTATTTACATACTATAATAGTCAGTGACTGTTTACTTATAAACAATTTTTAATTTATTGTCAATTGACAAAAATCACATATATTTATCATGTACAACATATTTTGAAATGCATATATACTGTGCAATGGTTGAATGGAGCCACTGACATATTGAGCTAATTAGCATATATAAATCAAGCAAATTATAACATGAATTCCATCATGTGTATGACTTTGTGGCGAGAACACTTAAAATCTATTCTCACAGAAGTTTTCAAAAATACAATACACTGTTATTAATTGTAGTCACTAGATTGTACAAATCCTCTTAAAATAGTTCTTCCTAAGATTTTGTATCCTTTCACCAGAACACCCCAACCCTTCACACAACTCTCAGTAACCATGCATCTTCTCTCCACTTCTATGGGTTCAATGTTTTTAGATTCCACATACAACTGAGATGAAGAGGTATTTGTCTTCCTGTGTCTGCTTTATTTCATGTAACATAATGTTCTCTAGGTTCATCCAGGTTGTCAAGAATGACAAGAATTGCTTCTTTCTTAAGGCTGAATCATATTCCTCTTGTGAATAAATACCACATTTTCTTTTTTGACATATTTTAGTATTTATTTTATTGGTATAAAAATTCTAGTTTTATAATTAATCAATAAGGAATAGTTTTCCAGACAGCTATGGCATGTACAAGTAACTTTTAGTTCCTTTTTTCCTCCTCTTTAATGCTGATGCTCTCAATCTTTGTTTAAGACAAGGTCTTGCTATATATATAGCCCAGGTTGGCCTTGTAGTCAGTATCCTGCCTCTGGTTCCCAAGTGCTAGGATCACAGGCCTAGGCCTCCACATCTGGCTGTGCTCTCAATCTTTAATGACACTGACACATTTCATACCACTTTTTCTCAAAACTCCATGGGTTTAGGGTATAACACATCCACATATTGAAATGGGAAGAAGAATTCAATATTCAAATATTATTATATATACAAATTAATTTGTCTAGATGACCATTAGACATGTGAATCTATTTTCAGAAGAATCGTTAGTGCCACTAATGATAAGATACTAGTATTACTTATTATTTTCAGTAATTTTTTGTTTTAGGCATATAGCTAACTTTTGTATTAACAAATGATTAACATGTCTTACAGTATGTTTATATTATACTGCATTTTCTTTATCCATTTACACACTGGTGGACACATAAGTTGATCCTATATCTTGGCTATAGTAAAAAGTGCTGCAACGAATATAGGAATGCAGATGTATCTTCAATACTCATTTCACTTTGTCTTGGTATATATACAGTAGTGAGATTACTGGTTCATATGGTAGTCCTACTTTTTTGAGGAACCTCCATACTGTTTTCCATAACATTTATGGAAATGTTTGGAATTTTCACAGTGTACAAGGGTGTGGGTTTATTTCTGTGCTTTCCTGTTCTGTTCCATTAATCTATATGTCTGTTTTTATGGCAAAAGCATGCTGCTTTGATTACTATAGCTTTGTTGTGATTATGAAATCAAATAACAGTGAGATACCTCTAGCTTTGTTCTTTTTGCTCAAGATTATTTTGACTATTCAGGTCTTTTGTGGTTACATACAAATTTTAGGATTATTTACTTTATTTCAGTGAAAACGATGATTGGAATTTTGAGAAGGACTGTACTGAATCTATAAATCACTTAGAGTAGTGTGGACTTTTCTTTTTGAGATGGAGTATCACTGTGTTGACAGGCTAGATTCAAACTCCTGAGCTTAAGTGATCCTCCTGCCTCTGGGTTTCCACTGGAAACTTTCTGCCTTTCCATAGAAGCTTTAAGTAGACACAAAATAATCTGCTGATATCTTGAATGATATTGCATTAAATTTGTATATCAATTTGGGAAAAACTGAGACTTAATAACATTATCCTATTCGTAAACATGAAAAATATGTCCATTTAAAAATGATCTTTCTTCTTTGAGTTCCTTCATCAGAGTTTTGTGGTTTTCCTCACATAAATCCTGCATGTACTTTGTTACCTAAGCATAGGTAACATACATAAGCATTTTACTTTTATTTTTAGGTGCTAATACAAGTAGTATGTTTTAATTCAAATTTCAGTGGTTCATTGCCAGTATAAAGAAAAGCAAATGACTTTTGTATAAACCTTGCATCCTTAACCCTTAGTATAATAAGTTCTTGTAGTTAGTCTGTTATCTCTTTGGGATTTTCATAGCTACTTGTGTAATTTGGAAAAAACTTCCATATTTTCCTTCCCACTCCATGTATCTTGTATTTACCTTTCTTGTCTTAATGGATGTTGAAAAGGAGTAGTATAAAAGGGTGGCTTTGCCTTCTTGTACCTGTTCTTAACAGAAAACCATCTAGTTTCTTATCAATGAATATGCTAGCTTCAGGGGATTATATAGATATTTGTTATCAAGTACAGGAAATTCCTCCCTCTATTTTAGTTCACCGAGTATTTATCACGAATGGGTGTTTCTCTACAGCTGTTGATATGAATGCCTAATTTTCTTCTTTTAGTCTGTTGATATGATGGATTATATTAATTGATTTTTGAACATTAAGCCAAGTTTGTAGAACTATAATAAATACCACTTGGTATTCTTTTTATACTTTGTTGAACTTGATTTGGTATTTCTTGAATTTTTTTGCATTAATGATCATAAGTTAACATTGGTCCACAGTTTTTCTTTCTTATAATGTTTGACTTTGATATTAAGGTAATGTTAGTCTCATAAAATGAGATGACAAGTATTTTCTCATGCTCACTTGAAGAAATAATATTCTAAAAGTATATTCAAACTTCTCAAAGTGACGTACAAACGCAATGAAATCTCCATAAAAATTTCCTGTTCTATCTTTTCATATAAATAGAAAAAAAATGATAAAACTTGTATCAACAGAAAAAAACCCCCAAACAGACAAAGCAAACATGAACAAAAAGAATAAAGATGAAATCACCACACCTCCTGATTTTAGACTATACTACAACGCTATGGTAATCAAGAGTTTGGTACTGGCATAAAGCAGACACAGAGGCCATTAGCCCACAAATAAAACCATGTATCTATTAAACTAATTTTTTTATTACTGTTATGCATTTGCAAAGGTTCTTACAATGTATCAAATATGTCATACTTGAATTCACCCCCACACTGCTCCCTTTCGTGACAAGAGCACCAACATTATGTAATGGGGAAAGGAAAGGATCTTGCTTTCCCCATAAATGATGTTTGAAAAACTGGATATCTACATGCAAAAGAATGAAAGTTTTATATTGCACCACACACAAAAGTTAACTTGAAAAGAATTAAAGTCTTACATGTAAGATCATAAAAGCTTTGAAGAAACCAGGTGGGGAAAGCTCCTTGGCATTGGTGTTGGAAATGAGGTTTTGTATACTCAAAAATACAAGCAACAGAAGTGAACATAAGCCAGTGAGACTAAATCAAACTAAGAGGCTTCCGTGCAGTAAAGGAAACAATGAAAAGGGAACGTATATAGGCAAACTGTATATCCAAGTAATATAAAAAAGGAAACTCATAGAAATCAATGGCAAGAAAAACTAAGATATTAAATTCCACTCCTTTTGTTCTTTAAAAAGAAGTATTTTCTTAGCTATTATTTTTTTCTGGAAAAGACTAGAGAATTAGTTTAATATCTTTCGTAAGTGTACGGCAGAACTCACTAGTAAGTCTACCAGATCCTGATTTTTTGAAATTTGTAAACT